GGAACACAGAATAGTCTTGTAGGGAATTTTCCTTTAAAGAAAAAAATTAATGATAGGTAAAATTTCTCTTAGAATCAGATATTAGATACCATACCTAAACTATAGGTTTTTTTTTTCTTTCTCAGCACAAATTCTAAGATATGACTACAGTATTTGCGGCGGAATCCAGAATCACTACCTGGATCATGTGTAATTTTGATGATTCAAACGTTTTCCTTTCCCTAGATCATTAGTGGTAGTAAAGATTCCTTTCCTGGTATACTGGGTGGATATACCTCATATACTTTATGTAAGCAGGCCAAATATTGAGGAAAATTTCAAATTAGATGATTGTCAGGAGGAATCACATTCAGGCATAGACAGGGAGGCATAGGAGTATAGTCTCAGGCTGGGAGAGGAAAAGGGAGTAGGGAGGCACCTCATTCTAAGAAATGCCATTCCTCTCTAGCCCATATTAAATAACATAACATTAGGGAAGCTCTGTTGGAATAAGCTCTTCCAACGATGAGCTTTTTGATCACGTCTAAAAATAAATTTAAATATTTACTAGGTTACAGAGGACGACTTGTTTTATAAGGGTTAAACTCAATCTGCTATCATTCAACAGAATAAGCCCATTAACCTTAAACTTTTCAAGCTAAAATATAAAATGCATATTTACCTGGTTGTGTCTGTGGCACTCTTGGGCGTGGTGATGTTTTTGGCTTGGCAGGAGCACGCGGTGTCTGCTTGGGAGCTAAAAGAAAGGATACAGGTTCGGAGTTCTTGAGGCCTTCAAGAATGACAGTACGTAAGCCTCTAGGAGCTCAGAGATGTTTGTGGAGTGACTAAGGATCTAAATACACAGCAATTAATACAATTAAAGCTCCTAAAGATCTGCAAAGTATAGGAAGATAATTTTTCTATATAATGGAAAACAAAACAAAAAAGCACATTAAATGACATCCAAGATATTCAGCTGGCAAAATGAAACTGCTGAAACCTCAGAAATATCTTCTTCAAATATCTTTTAAATAGGTTGAAAATAAATTTCATAAAAATTCTTTATTACAAGTTCACATCATTTTATCAGAATATCCAGATATTTTAAAAGCAAACACATACAATGTTTTCTAAATAAAAAACAAAATTATTATGTTATAGTCCAAATATAGAATGTATTTTCACAGCAAGTGCTAATAGAAAAAATAAATCTACCAAACAAAACACAATTTCTGTTGGTTAGGAAGAGAAATTGGACACCACGGATACTTTTCAATGGAGAGTTATTCCTTTCCTGGGCAATTCCTAAAGAAGTTCTAGGACATTCAGTGTGAAAACCAATTGTTTCTTCATCAAGAAAATTAAAAGCATATCCTGTTGAAGGAAAGAAATTATCAGATGCAAGGCTGCAGCTTATGGAAACACCTGATTTAGTTGAACTAGTGTTTGGGATAAAAAAGGAACAAAATGGTGTTAATGTCATGCAGTTTCAGACACCTTAAGAAAAGATTGCTGAAAATAAGAGTTTTTAGACACCAGAAATTTCTGAAGGACTCTGCAGAGGGTTCTTCCTGATACTAAATCAAAATATACAAGATAATGCAGTGGTTTCAGTGGAATCTTCCTGTTTGCAGAGAGATGAACACCAAGAAATGTTCACTGGTTTAGAAACCCAGAATTTGGGGGTTTAGAGCTCCCTTTGCTAATGACTGGGTCTGCAGTCTCAGGTTTTCCATCAAAAGTTACACAGCTTTTAAGAACCCTGCAATCCCCAAATTCTATGATTCTAGAGTTTCTTACAGTCTTGTGATTTTCTAATTCTCAACTTCTTCGCTTACTGAAGTTCTAACTGATATGCTATTTGCTTCCCTCAGGGTATAAGAAAGATCACCTGAAGGTAAAGGCATGTCATGAAGCAATTCCATGAAAATTGATAGAGAATGAGATAAGAGTCATTAGTACCAATATTTGCAATTAGACATTTCGATAATATTACTATAGCTATTAAAAACAAAACTGGACAAGTTAGATACAACTGATACAGATTCCATTAATGTAGTCAAGGTAGAATTTTGATTAAATTTAAACTGTAGAGTTTATAGGCAATGCTTAGTAGGACATTCCAGAGGACAATGAGTAAAATTAATATCCACATCTCCTTTGGAAATAGAGCCATATAAAATAGTATAATGATAATCAAAACAGAAGTTTGGGCTTATTTAAGATAAACTTCTGTTTCATGGAAACCTACAGCTATTGAGAGAATTTTTCCTTGTAAGAAGAGTCACATTTAGTTGTCCATGTGGGTGATTTGTTTTCATTCATTTCAAACTCCACTACCTAGTACCTTTATGACCAGCAAAAGTAATTGGTTTGATTTCAGTTTCTCTTATTTGTATACAGTGAAATGGCCAAACCGTTGTAGGAAAGAGTGGAACGAAGTAGGGTACCTAAATAATGACGAGGTGACTGGCCTGTAATACTCTCTTTTATGTGTATTGAATTGTTAAGCCAGTTTCTGGAGGTTTCTCTTAACTTCAAACACAAATTAGATATCTTAAAATACTTTTTACATGACCACAGAAGTTGTAAAACTAGTCAAGATGATAAAGTAATTAAAATTAGAATGTATGTAAATAGAATATAAATGTTCTTCCTCAGAAACACTCCTATTTCTTGAATTAAACACTTGTAGAGTAGCTGAGAGGTGGTTTTCTGTCATATCCTAAAGAAAATTCACAACACTGCCAATTGAGTGCTTACTGAAGATAGTGAGACATCAGACAGGTGGAATCACCCATCAAAGGCTGTGAGCAGAGTGATAAAGTCAGGGCCTTTGACATCTAGAAGTGACCTTATTGTCATTTTACAAACACTCACCTCATATATGAAATAGAAAATAGTGTATTTACCGGGTTCAGTCTGAGGCTCATCTGGGCTGGGTAGGATTATAGGTTGAGAAGGCAGAGGTGATGCTTCTATGGCAACTGAAGGAAAGTACTTAGGTTACTGTAGTGCTTGA